ATCTAGGACATATACTCCGTTTTCGGAGTGCGCTCGTCCGATCTGCCTACGGGGGAATGTGCTTGACTCGTAGTGCAGCAGGATGTCTCGTGTCTCGTGATCCGTGCTGAGATCGACGCCGCAGTCCATGAGTTGTGCGGCGGACAGGAGGTTGAAGCGCAGGTTCTGGACAATCAGCACATCGTTGAGCGTGATGTGCGTGCGGCTTCCACGTGCTTTGAGCACGACGATGCCTTGCGCGTTTGCGCGCAGGCGCGTGTTATTTGCCACAGTGACGTAAGTGACTGTGGGGGTGGAGAGGGCGTTGGATATGTAACGTTCGGAGCCCACCATATGCTGACCGCAGCAGCTGTCCAGGTACCAGGTGTTGTAGCGCTTGTTATCGTTACGTGCGAGCAGCGCCAATCGCGGTGTGACGATGTGCGAAGTGTCGAACTTCAGAAATTGTTCGCGCAAGGGCCAATCAGTTGGCGCCACCCGCATGTCTGGTGTGTGCGGGGGACTTTCGAGCAGCGGAGCTGGGAGGTTCCAGTCCTGGTCGTCGTCATCGTTGTAGTCGTGGCGCGGGCTAAATGGGTTGTTGTTGGTGAACGCGCCAATCGGGTGCGGTGCTAGCTCAGGTGAGGGTGAGCGAGCACGGCGACGACGTGACTCGCCTGTCATGGCCATGTTGCTCATGACGTTGCGTGTAGGGGCAGTTGATGACTGCTGCTGCTGATGCTGAACGGTCGAGTTCAGATTGCGCGCGGATGGGGGTTGATGCCCTTGGGCTGGACGCACGTCGCCTCGTGCGTCTTGTCGACCGGACCAGTTGCTCGGATTGGTCTGGCGAGGGCGAGATCGGAACTTACATCGATCCGCCAAATGCCCGAAATTTTTGCAAATTTTGCAATAGAGGCGCCGCGGTCGTCGCTCTTCGTTGTTGTCGGCGTAGAAGGCGAGCCGTTCACGTTCTCGTCGAGGCGCTGGTCGCTGCTGATCCATATCCCGTTGTTCGAAGAGAAGGGCGCCGCAAAGGGCGGCCTCCGAGATGACCCCCTGCTGTCGGAGGAGCGCCTTACAGGGCCGCCACTCTGGGCCGAGCCCTTGAAGCACGATGTTCATGAAGATTTCCTCGGAAATCGAGCTTCCTAACTTCACGATTTGATCGCGAAGGCTCCGACAGCGATTGATGTTGTTGTTGACCTTCTCCCCTGAGGTAATCTTGGTTTCCAGCAGTTGCTGGAGTAGTCGGCTCGAGGAGACGGAGTCCTTGGGCTGATACACGCCGTTCAGGTGGCGCCAAGCGTCGAGGGCTGGGGCAGTTGATGTCTTGTATGAACGGATGTTCAGCTGTTCCGCCGGAGACATGTTACGCAGAAGGATCCCGTACGCCATCAGGGACTCGTTATAATAGTGAGCCCTTGCGTCGTCAGTATCTTCAGCAGGTCCCGAGTAGCTCCCGTCAAAGTAATGATAAATCTGCGCGTTTTGCAACAGTAGTTCCAGCTCGAAGCTCCATGTGTAAAAGTCTCTGCCGTCAAAGCACACACTTGTCTTTATTTTTGATATGCTCAGAAACCTTGATTGCGCGGAGAGAATTGCTTCATCGCTGGTACAGGGAGTCTTGGGGGTTGAGCCGTTCGTGTCTAGGGAGAAGCCTTGCGGGGCGGAGTTGTGGTCGTTTGGGGCCGGTTGAGTGGGTTGGGAGGAAGCTCCCGCATCGCCATTCCGCAATGTTTGGAGCCCTTGCTCCAGGCTCGTGAGTCGCTGAAGCAGTTGAGCGAGGACGGCGGAGGGAATTGTCGTCGTCTTCTCATTTGTCGCAGCCGGGTTGGGCTGCGCTTCAGCCGTCAGATTTGTCTGACCTCCGGATCCTCCGGCCATTCTTACACGTGATCGTGTGCCGGACGCCACTTTCCGAGTGTCGCAGAATTCGGAGATGGCGGCGCGAAGGATTCCTGAGTCGCTCTCATACCATGTTGCGATCAGCAGGTGATCGTGTCCTAGGATCTACTCAGGAAGGTTCGCGGACAGGGTAGTGATGTTGGTGGGCCCTTGACCTTAATAGCAGAGTGAATGTAAATGCTTGAGATGATTAAGACATGCATACATCGAGTTTATATAAGAGTGCAGGGGAATACGAAAAGACCTAGGCTAGCCATGTACTCTAAGGGGTACATTCCCTTATTCGAATACATCCCAACTCTGCGGCGCACACAGTTATGAAACTGACCCCGCCGAAACCATCCTGTCTGCAACTGCCCGATGCTCTCTACTCCGACAGTTCAGATGAGTTCCAACCGTCTGACGATTCGCGTTCATTCGCGATACTACGTGCTTCCCTCTTTTGCTGCGGTGAGGAGTGTACAGTAATATTCAAGCATTACTTTTCGTAACAAAAGCAAGATGACAAGAGAGAAGCCAAAAGAGGGGGTTGCACTGTAGAATGCAATACATCTTATAGGAAACGAGGGAGGTGGTGAAGGGGGTTAGACCACCTAAGACAAGATAGGTCATACTACACTAACTAAGTTGTTAGAGTGAGGATCTTGGATAGGATAGGAAGTGCTTTGGTAGAGTTGGTAACGGAAGTCTTGTAACAACTCAGATCATAATGAATGTAAATGACCAAGTTGATTAAAAGTTAGAATACAAGGAATATAAATAGTCCTAGTCTAGCCTGTACTCTAAGGGGTACATTCCCTTATTATAACCGTTTTACAAGCATTTCTACAGTGACCCTGACTATTGTACTGCCTTTCTTGTTACCGAGTCGCTGCATGTAACCTGTACACTTACGCCTGTTGCCATTCCTTTATGGTAAGTCAAGCGACGGTCCAGATGGTCAACAGTCGCGACAGTTGACTCTCGCGACTGTTAATCTTCCTGCCCTCAATAAGGGCTGATCCGATACTATGCTGCAGGCCCTACATTTTCCGAGTAAATTAATCTGTTTCTCTGAAAATCAGAGTCATTTTTGAAAGGAACTCTATACCTGCTGGGTTTTGCTTTTAAAAGTTTAGTTTTCTCTGATTTATCAGAGTTTTCTTGTAGGCTACTCTGAGCTCTCTGGGTTTTTATTCTAAGGACCGAGTTTCCCCCTAGCCACCCCCCCCACCTCCCCCCCCTCCCTCCCCCCCTCTCCCGAATATCGGGTTTCCCCCAAGTCGCCGAGAACACCATCCAGATTTCGTTCGAGTGTTGGCGCCAAGGCCTGCTAGTGCTCGGCTGGCTCACAGTTTCTCCACACATTTCCCCAATCCATCAGGTGCCTTGCGTACCCCAACATCACAGTCACGCGTCTCCCCACTCTATTCCGCACCTTGTTCAATGCAGACAACGCTGACGCTGCTGCGCCTGAACCTGATCCCGACCCGTCATGCAGCTCTCGCCCTATGACGGGTCTGGAGTTTCTGAAAGGCGTAACAAATTAGCCATACAGATCATACACCTTAGTAAACTAACATCAGAGTAAAGCAAAATATTACTCTGACGTGCCTGAGTTTTTTTCCCAAAACATAAGGTTACTATGACAACTCAGAGTGAGGCGTAAGAACAACCCTATATTTCAGAGTTGGCAAAAAAACCACTCTGGAATTCAGAGTACCTAAAATCCAAAAGTAGGCCTTGTTACGCTGTCAGAACATTATAGCTTATACATTTATGTAGGCTGTAGTGGGGTAGCCCATAATGGGTGCAACCCAATTAGGGTTAGTACTTGTACCCAAACTCTTTCAAAGTTCAATCATTCTCTCGTTTCATTCTTCACATGGTATAGAGCTGGTTCCCTCGTGGGAACTGTTCCTAGGGCCCACCAACTTTTTTTCCTGCCCGGAGCACGCTTGGCCCTTGCCCGAGTCGCGCCCCGAGTCGTCTCCCCTCTAGCGGCCCCTAACGGCCCCGTCGCGCCGCCCTTTCGGCTCCGTTGCACCGCCCTTGCGGCCCCGTCGCGCCGCCTTTGCGGCCCCGTCGTGCCGCCCTTGCGGCCCCGTCACGCCGCCTTTACGCGGCCCCGACACGCCGCCCTTGCGGCCCCGTCGCGCCGCCCTTGCGGCCCCGTCGCGCCGCCCCTTACGCGGCCCCGTCACGCCGCCCTTACGCGGCCTCGTCACGCCGCCCTTGCGGCCCCGTCACGCCGCCCTTACGCGGCCCCGTCACGCCGCCCTTGCGGCCCCGTCGCGCCGCCCTTGCGGCCCCGTCGCGCCGCCCCTTACGCGGCCTCGTCGCCGCCCTTTCCTTCGGCCCCGTCGCCGCCCTTTCACGGCCTCGACGCCCGCCCTTACAGCGGCCCCGTCGCCCACCCTTCAGCGGCCCCGTCGCCCGCCCTTTCAGCGGCCCCACCGCCGCCCGCCCTTTCAGTGGGCCCCGTCGCCGCCCTTTCAGCGGCCCATCGCCGCGCTTCCCTGGGCCCGTCGCCCCCCTTTCAGCGGCCAGTCGCCGCCCTTTCAGCGGCCTGTCGCCGCCCTTTCAGCGGCCCTGTCGCCTGTCAGAATTTATATGTAACTGCCTATAGCTGTAGTTTAGTGTAGTTATTATAATTTGTTGGTGGTGCACTTTCTTTGCATGCTTTGTTTACTAAATGTACCCTAGCAGTATAGTGAACATCACCACCTTTCCAATTCTCTCGACACTTTCACCTTGAACCCCTTCAACTCGAACTCCATCACCAAAACCTACTCCTAAGCTACTATGGCTCCTAAGCCTACCAAGCACTAGGCTTTTGACATCGCCGCCTTTCCACGGCCCCGTCGCCGCCTGAGCCGCCGAGCAGCCGAACCGCCGACCGCCGAGCCGCCCAGCAGACGAGTCGCCCGACCGCCGAGCCGCCCAGCAGCCGAGCCGCCCGACCGCCGAGCCGCCCAGCAACCGAGCCACCGAGCAGCCGAGCCGCCCGACCGCCGAGCCACCCAGCAGGCGAGCCGCCGAGCCGCCCGACCGCCCCACTTGCCTGGTAAGAGCAGCGTCTCTGCCACCGCACTGCCCTGCCCCACTGTACTCACTACCTGTCTACTACTCTCATGGCCTCCCCTAGTGTTCTCACCTTTGACGGTGAGGGTCAGGCAGTTGACTTCGAGGTCTTGGTAGATGATCTGCAGCTTTTCCTACAGTGCAATAGGGTAGACGGTCTCTCCTTGTTTGACCTCACTTCTGGTGCCTCTCCTGCCCCTGCTTCTGATGCTGACGCCACTATTCGCTCACAGTGGGCCATGCGCGATAATGCTGCTTGCCTTGCTATGCACCGCCACTTACCGACCACGGAGCGTGCACACTTTAGCCAGTACAAGAGTGCTCAGACCTTGTACGACGCTGTAGTTGCATGCTACTCTTCCCCTGCCACTGCTGCACTGAGCCGCCTCATGCTACCGTACCTCTTCCCTGACCTTGCTGCCTTTCCCACAGTCGCTGACCTCATTACGCCCCTCCGCACTAGTGACACTCGCTACCACGCTGCGCTTCCTGCTCAGTTCTGCACCAAGAAACCCCCCCCATGTACATCACCCTCTACTACATAGTCACCCAACTCCTTGACTCTCTCTGCGTAGTAAGGGACCACTTCCTCTCAGTTTGCCCATGCACTCTCACCGTTGACCTCCTCGAGTAGGCCCTCATAGTGATAGAGAAGAGCATAGTCACTGTAGGAGCCTCTCGTGGTGACCCTCGCACCCCCGTCTTTGAGGGGTGTTCTCCCTCCCCCCTTTTGCCCTCTGTTGCCTCTACTGCTGCGGCCGACCTCGTTTGTTCCGAGTCGGTCGGCGCTGCGTCTGCCCCGAGCGGGAGACGCCGCACCGGCAAGGGCAAGGGGGGCAAGGGCGCTAAAGGGGCTGGAGGGGGCGGTGAAGGTGGTAGAGGAGGCAGTGGAGGGAGTGGGGGTGGTGGTGGGAGTGGTGCCGGGGGTGGCGCCGGCGGCGGCAGCAGTGGAGGAGGCGGAGGCAGTGGAGGTGGCGGAGGGAGCGGAGGCGGCGGAGGTGGCGGAGGTTGAGGAGGCGGCGGAGGGAGCGGTGGCGGCGGCGGCGGCGGTAGTGGAGCGGGTCGCGACTCTGCGCAGAGGAGTGGCTCAGGTGGTGGTCCGCGCCAGCAGCAGCGGAGTGGTGTGACTCTGTCCCCTCAGCAGCTTCGTGAGTGGTACACTGCACGTCAGCGCGGTGGGGGCTTTGGTCCCTGCACTTACGTCCTCCCGGGGTTGCTATCTTTAATCTTGACTTTGATGCTATTCTTGCTGCAATGTATGCTGTTGATACTACTATTGAGGGTGCCTGTTACGTGTGTGTACCGCCTGACCCGGGCATTGAGGACGCTGCTCTAGGTGCTGGTGGGGCTGCTGCTCTAGGTGCTAGTGCGTCTACTGCCCCAGTTGCCAGTGCGTCTGCTTCCCCACGTGCTGGTGAGTCTGCTCTCTCAGGTACTACATCGGCTCAGGCCTTCCACACCTTCACCTTGGACTCGGGTGCGTCCCGCTCCTTCTTTCGAGAACGCACCACTCTTACGCCGCTTAGTCGGCCGGTTGTAGTCTCCCTTGCAGACCCTTCTGGGGGTCCTGTCCTTGCTAGCTTCTCCACTGTCCTACCGTGCCCGGCAGCCCCCTCTGGCACCCTGTCTGGTCTCTACCTCCCCTCGTTCTCTACGAACTTGGTGAATGGAGCGGACCTAGAGGATACGGGGGTTAACAAGTTCATTCCTGCGAGTCAGCGAGTGACCCAGTGCACGTGTGCTCGGACACGCCGACACTTGGCCACGTTCACCCGTCGGCCATGGTCGAGCCTGTACACCCTTACTACTGAGTCTTCTCCTGCTGCTGAGTCTAACCAGGTAGCTGCGTCGAGTCAGGTGTTTGCTGCGGCATCCAAGTCTGGTCCTGAGTCTGCTCCCTGCTCGTGTCGTCTGCTGTCCCACCAGACCCTCCTTTGGCACCACCGCCTTGGTCACCCCTCCTTGCCTCGTCTCCGAGGCATGGCCTCCCGTGTCCTTGTCTTTGGTCTCCCTCGGTCTCTCCCTCCCCTTCCTTCAGGGCCTGGCCCTACCTGCGTCCCCTGCGTGGAGGTGCGACAGCGCGCCGCCCCTCACTCCTCTGAGTTTCCTCCAAAAGAGGCTCCGCTGCAGACTCTCCACATGGACGTGTGGGGCCCAACCCGCGTCAGTGGGCAGAGACGCAAGCGGAACTTCCCGGTGGTGGTTGAGGACTACTCGCGTTACAAAATGGTGTTCCCCTTGTGCAGCAAGGGTGACGTCACTGAGGTGTTGATCGACTAGATCCGCGCAGCTCGTCTCGAGCTCAAAGAGAAATTCGGCTCAGACTTTCCTGTTCTGCGTCAGCACTCGGACAGAGGCGGGGAGTTTTCCTCTGCCCGTCTAGGAGCCTTTTGTCGTGCACAGGGCATCCGTCAGACCTTCATGCTTCCGGCCTCTCCACAGAAAAATGGGATTGCTGAGCGTCGCGTTGGCATGGTCATGGACGTCTCTCGGACATCCATGATGCATGCGGCTGCCCCCCATTTTCTGTAGCCATTTGCTGTTCAGTACGCCGCGCATCAGCTCAACCTTCAGCCCCGGGTCTCCTTGCCAGAGACCTCCCCCACCTTGCGGTGGACAAGGAAGGTTGGCGATGCGTCTGCGTTTCAGGTCTGGGGATCTCGGGTGTTTGTCCACGACTTGTCTACGGACAAGCTGTCCCCTTGTACAATTCACTGCGTCTTCTTTGGCTTCCCCCCTGATGCGCCTGGCTGGCAATTTTACCACCCCACCTCGCGCCATGTTTTGTCCTCCCAGGACTCCACCTTTGACGACTCGGTGCCTTACTACTGTCTCTTCCCCTACCGCACTGCGCCCCTCCCCCCGCCGCCGCTCTTCCTTGCACCAGGTCCTCCCCAGGTAGACCCCCTCCCTCCTCAGGGTCCTGCCCCGTCAGGTGTGTCCCAGGTAGACGCAGTCGAGCCTGTCGAGGTAGCGGTTAACTCTGGTGCTGCTAGAGGTTCTGAGCCTGCGGGTGTTGGGTCTGGGGGTGCTGAGTCTGGGGGTGCTGAGACTAGGGGTGTTGAGCTAGGGGGTGCTAAGTCTCGGGGTGTTGAGCCTGGGGGTGCTGAGCCTGGAGGTGTTGAGCCTAGGGGTGCGGAGCCTGGGGGTGCTGGGTCTGCTCGTGTGGCCGCTGGCGGTGCTTCGTCGAGGCGGGAGCTGCTCTCTCCACAGGAGGTGCGCGAGTGGTTTTTCGCCGCTGGAGACGTGTTGCTGAGACACGGGGTGCTGCTGGGGCTACTGGAGTTGGTCCTGCTGGAGCTGTTGGCGCTGCTAGTGGTGCTGGAGGTGGAGCTGCTTGGGGTGTTGGCGGCGGTGTTTCTACTTGCGTTGGTGCGTTTGGGGGTGCTGCTGAGGCTGCTGGTGCTGACGGTCCTCCTGGAGTTGGTGCTGTTGGAGCTGGAGCTGCTGGGGGTGTTGGCGCTGATGCTTCTGAGGGTGCTGGAGTTGGCGCTGTTGGAGCTGGCGGTGGTACTTGCGCTGGTGCTGCAGCTGGGGGTACTGTTGCCATCCTTGCTAGTTCTGGAGGCGCTGAGCGGCCGAGGCCGTACTTCGTTCTGCTCCTGGAGCAGGTTCTTAGTCTCTCGCCCTCTCCTGGTCTTGCTCCTCCCTTAGATTGTCCACAGCCTGTCCAGTCGCAATCACAGTTATTGCCCACCTCCCCGCTACCTGCTCCTTCTCCCTACACTGGTCCTACTGGAGGTCTTGTTGAGCGTTGTGAGCCTGCTTCTCGTCCTGCGTTGCCTGTTCGTGCTGCTCGCACTAGTCGTTGTGCTGCGCGTTCGCGTCCTCCTATGGTCCCCGGCACACACCAGATGGCACTGCGTCCTTCCACTGCTCCTCTGCATGTCCCGTTGCCATCTCCTCTAGAGTCCTCTCTTCCTTCTCTTGCTGACCCGGAGTCTGACTCCCTTCATGCTGCTAGTCCTTCGGGCACGCGCCTTCTTGCTACTGTTGTCACTGACCCTTCCTTTGAGTCCACTGCTGCGTCTACTCTAGTTGCTGAGCTTGTCGACTTCACTGTTCGCTGTCGTCTAGACTACGCTGCCAGTCTTGTTGCTGAGTCAGAGTCTGTCTGTCCTCCTCCGTCGGGGGTGAGTGTGCTCTTAGCATGGACGTCCTTGAGGACAGGCATGAGGAGTTCCAGTGCTTTGCTGCTGCTTTGCCCCATCTCATATCCACGCTGATTGCCCCTGAGGGAGACCCGGATGCACCAGACATCCCGACTCCTCGATCGTACGCTGAGGCGATCGTGGGTCCTTACTCCTCTCAGTGGCACTCATCCACGGACGCAGAGATGGCTTCCTGGAAGTCCACAGGCACCTATATCGATGAGGTTCCCCCACCTGGGGCGAACATCGTCAGTGGCATGTGGATTTTCAGGGTGAAGCTGTCGCCAGGTTCTCCGCCTGTCTTCAAGGCGCGTTACGTGGCTCGAGGCTTCAGTCAGCGGCAAGGAGTTGACTACTTTCAGACCTTCTCTCCCACCCTGAAGATGACCACTCTTCGGGTGCTGCTGCACATAGCCGCTCAGCGCGACTACGAGCTTCACTCTCTTGACTTCTGCACAGCGTACTTACAGGGCAGCCTGCACGAGGAGATCTGGCTGCGCCGCCCACCTGGCTTCACTGGGTCATTTCCTCCTGGTACCCAGTGGAGCCTCCGGCGGCCAATCTACGGTCTCCGCAAGGGGCCCCGTGAGTGGCACGACACACTGAGGACTACACTTGCAGCTCTTGGGTTTGCTCCCTCTACTGCCGACCCGTCGCTGTTTCTGTGCACCGACACCTCTCTGCCGCCATTCTACATCCTCGTGTATGTCAACGAGTTGGTCTTTGCCACTGCTGACACTACTCGACTCGCCCACGTGATGTCCAAGCTGCAGAAGAGACACACGTGCACGGACCTGGGTGAATGGCGCAGCTACCTTGGCTTGCAGATCACCCGGGACAGAGCACAGCACACCATTACCCTGACTCAGTCACACATGGTGCAGCAGGTCCTTCAGCGCTTCGGCTTCACGTACTCCTCGCCTCAGGCCACTCCTCTGTCTACTCGCCACTTGCTCTCAGCTCTGCCTTCGGATGAGTCCGTAGAGTCGAGTGGCCCGTACCTAGAGCTTGTTGGCTGCGTCATGTACCTGATGACCTGCACACGACCTGACCTAGCATGCCCTCTTAGCATCTTGGAATGCTATGTTGCTCCTAGGAGACACCGAATATAGCACATGGCTGCAGCGAAGAGGGTGTTGCGCTACTTGTGCAGTACATCGGGCATGGGGCTAGTGCTTGGAGGGCGACGTTGAGTGGTCCTCACAGGTCACGCTGACGCTTATTGGGCTGACGACCAGGCTCTGCAGCGGTCGTCACAGTGTTACACCTTCAGCCTTGGCTCCGGCTCTATTTCGTGGCGGTCTACCCGCTCGTCTTCTGTTCTCAGCTCCAGCTGTGAGGCTGAGATCTACGCGGGGGCCATGGCTGCACAGGAGCTACGCTGACTCACCTACCTGCTGATTGACCTAGGAGAGCGGCCTCGTTCTCCTCCAGTTCTGTACGTAGACAACAAGGCCATGCTGGCCTTGTGTCGGGAGCACAAATTGGAGCACAGAACGAAGCACATTGCTTTCCGCTACTTCCTGGCTCGTGAGCTGCAGCAGCGTGGTGAGCTCCGTCTCATCTACGTGGCCTTTGAGGCCAACACTGCTCACAAAGGCCCTTCCGCCTTGTGATCATCAGCGGTTCTGTACTTTGCTAGGTCTTGTGCCTTCCTGGCCTCACTTGCTCACTTCTTGATCTTGTTTGTACTGTACTCTTTCTATACCTGCACTTGCTTGTTTACCTTTATATATATGATCCTGCATGTGAACTGGCCTTGTGGCCTTACTCTTGTGCTCGAACTGTGTTTTGACTTTGTGATCCACCATAAGCTTGCTTTGCTTTGCTTGACTGGTCTTGTGACCACTTGTTCTCCCCCACTTTGCCTATGGGGGTGTGTCAGAACATTATAGCTTATACATTTGTGTAGGCTGTAGTGGGGTAGCCCATAAGGGGTACAACCCAATTAGGGTTAGTACTTGTACCCAACTCTT